CTCCGCGGTGGAGACCTTATCTCTAAGATCTTTACGATCCAGAACCAATCTACTCATGCATAATTACGCTTCCAGATATCACTTCGCTATGTACTACCCGACTCTGTTTGAACTCAGGCCGATGGCTTCAAAGGTTTTTGCTGGGCAACAACAAACATTTGCTTGCTTGTGTCCCTGGTCGATTGGTACCTTATCGAGTGAGGGTTACAACATCGGTCTACTGTTTGAACTAATTGAATTAAAACACAATATGCTCTTCAATAATCAATTACATGTTAATGAGTTCATCCACTTGAATAATATCAAGATCGCGATGAAATATTCAGTGTCATTCTAGAGCAGCGGTGCCATGTAAAGAGAACTAGTCGCTTAATGACCAGGAATCTTCATCCATACATTTTAATGTATTTTAATCTCATCTATAATGGCGTCTAGTTAAAACTCGGACGGCACCGCTCCATATTAGAGAAATGGAATATATTTAATAAATAAGCTGTTTATTAACATCTGCCGCGTCTTTTTGGTTAAAGCAAAAAAAAACCACACTACATTTTACAATAGAATAATACCCTTAAAACATTTTATTTATATTTCAGTTAGAGAATCAGTATTGATGATGATAAATACAATTTTCGAAATAGCTATTGACACTTTAAGAAAGTGCTCGTAAAATCGCAATACGATCGTTCGTAAAATGCAGGTGCATTACTCGCGTCGAGCTAAAACAACCAATACCTAATCAGTGGAACGTTGTAAAACACTTATCTGAAAACGACAAGAAATTTAAATGTCCAAGGCGATCGCCTTAAAATATTCCTTTAAAAGCTTTATGTTATTGAAATGACCAGTATTACATCCCGGAGTCCATTACTTACTGCAGTGCTTGTATACATATTCATATCTCTGAATTCTCGGGCCGTAAGAGATAAAAGTAGTTTTACTGCTTTGGAGCAAGTAAGATGGTAGAAACTTGATCCACCACAACCCGGGGGCGAGCGAGACGGAGCTATGAACTCGGAGGGTGCGAGAGTGAGGGACGACAATATCAGAAGGCTTTTACAGTAGAACGGACAGCGCGCAGTGAAACGTGGGTCCGACGTTCGCCTTCTTTTTCAATCTCGGTTGAATAAATTGATTCTAAGATTAATCTTTTGTGGTCGCTGCAACTGACGGCTGACTGTTCTTTTCTAACTGATGATCCAGAAGAAACGTTAGAAAACTTTTAAAAAATCTATCTCAACAGTGGATTTGATTAATTTGTTCAAAACGAACGGACCGACTGTTGATTTACTGTTATTTCGGATTCGTTTCGGGGTCAAATGTAAGCACTAATCAATTAACGAAGTATACGAGCATCAGAAAATATAATTATATTTAAAAAAAAAAAAAGTGTGGTGTCGTGGGACACCGGATAGGAACGAAGTTCCTTATTATAAAAATATAAATTTTAAGTTCTATTCGAGGTATAAAGAAAATAATTATTCGGGTATTAATTATTTTCTTTTTTCATTTTATTATGATTTTTTTATTAATAAAAATAAATGAATAAAAACTATTTTACAAAGTTATCAACTTTTGTTTTGTTCCCAATGATTTATAAAAAATGTATATGAATAATAACAATAACCGTCATCACGTAGACTATACATTAGACACTGTATAGCCATCATACTAAGACTATACATGAATAATAAAAATCTTACGTTACGGACGCTTTTTCCCGGTCAGGGTACCCCTCCGCGTCGTCCCATAAGGAACTTAATTTCAAAACTTTAATAGAAAAGAGAAAAAAATCAAACGTAAAATAACAATGCTCCGACGTGTCATAAATGTGGCTGCACAAACAGCAAACATAAAACCTTGTGACAGAAACCGGAAACTATATGAAAACATACGCATCATGTCGGAGTAGTAAACTGAATTGTCAGTTTTATTGTCCTCAGACTTGACGCCCGTCAGATGGAAATAGTCGGACATGTCGTAAATCCGGGGATAGCGATCTTTTGAGAGCCGTTAATATTCTTCTGTAAACACGGGAAGATGTTCGTGATGCAACGTCTAATCGACAACGGTTGTGATGGCTGAAACAGAAGCATTGAGATCGAGCTAATTTATATTTATTTTAATAATGACAAAAATCGTATGGCCTCTGTTCTTAGGTAGTACTTAAATAAACTTTACATATTAAATTCAACAGGTATTTATTGCTAGAGTGTGAAGTTACTGGTGGCATGACCTTTTGAGAGTCCGCACGGGTAGGTACCACCACCCCGCCCATTTCTGCCGTGAAGCAGTAATGCGTTTCGGTTTGAAGGGTAGGACAGCCGTTGTAACTATACTTGAGACTTTACAGCTTATATCTCAAGGTGGGTGGCGCATTTACGTTGAAGATGTCTATGGGCTCCAGTAACCACTTAACACCAGGTGGGCTGTGAGCTCGTCCAACCATCTAAGCAATAAAAAAATATATATTGTCAGAGTTCCGTTAACGTTTTGGCTTGTTCAACATTATCGATTAAATTAGGTGTATGTGAAAGACATTATAATTAATCACAATAAAAAAAAAACTTGGGTTAATATGCGAAAAACCAACGAAATAATATTCGAAATAAGAATTTCGAGGCAATTTACGCGTTACGTATAAACATTTATCAAGAATCGACATTAATGTACGACCAATACCGAATCCGGTCCACATTTACATTTTCCGATATCACCAGAAGCCAAAAGGCAGATACGTTTGAATATAAATTGCTGAATGATGCATGAGATACGTAAAAAGAATAAGCAAAAATGAAACGAAATTATATCGAGATAGTTCATTACAAAACAAAGTTAGAAATTTTAATTCTAGTCATATTTTTTTTCCGTTACGCGCCATCTGTTTTGTATTCATGTCTATGATAATAAAATCCTTTTGTTTAAACTTTATCTAATTTAACTTTTTTGTATTCATGTCTATGATAATAAAATCCTTTTGTTTAAACTTTATCTAATTTAACTTTATTTAACCAATTTCTAGAAAGTTGCATGTAGATAATTTTTCGAAAAATAAGGCCATAAACAAGTTTCACTTCTTACGTGTGTACACTAGTACACGCACACATTTTTTTGAAGTGAAACTTCCTTATCGGCGTTGGAAAAAAATTTACCGTCACATTTTTCGGTTACGCGTCACTTTTTTCCGTTACGCGCCATCTGTTTTGTATTCATGTCTATGATAATAAAATCCTTTTGTTTAAACTTTATCTAATTTAACTTTTTTGTATTCATGTCTATGATAATAAAATCCTTTTGTTTAAACTTTATCTAATTTAACTTTATTTAACCAATTTCTAGAAAGTTGCATGTAGATAATTTTTCGAAAAATAAGGCCATAAACAAGTTTCACTTCTTACGTGTGTACACTAGTACACGCACACATTTTTTTCCTATATATACTGATAGCCTTAACAGGCTATTTCAGCTTCACCTTAGCGTGTGGGTGAGCTCTCCGGGCTCAAACCGGAAGTATTGCTAACACTGGCTCTAGTAAGAGCAGTGCTTCGCAGAATCTACCACCAGATCGGAAACACGACCCACTGAGAAGATCCGGCGAGAAACTCAGCGGGCTGTGTCTATGGGTTAATTTACCCATCGAGTCCTTCGTCGCAAGCGATGGGTTCGGCGGGGACGGTGACCGGTGCTTGAGGTACCTAAAAGCACCATTAATGGATCGAGAGGATCCGTAACGATGTGTTTAGGGCGACGTCGACTGTTCATCATTCCGTCCACAGGATCGGGTATGTAATTCCCGGCAGCCACGGCAAGAGTGTTTTCGTGTCATGTCGCCTTTTCAAAGTGGCGCAAAAATGTTTTTGATCTCAAGATGTGTAAACGAGAATAATGGGAAAGACAATCATGAGACGGAGATATCTGAAAGTCTTACAGTTTATAAATCAGAACATATGAATTCCAGGCGTTACATTAAAATCCCTAGTCATTAACCCCCGGGTAGATTTTCCGACTGGATCATCAACAAAGCTGCCAATTTTGGCTTATAAAAAAAATCCTAGCGTAAGATATTTTCCTGTAACTCATAATCGTAATAATTGATTCCTATTACGGTAGTTAGATTATGAGAGCGTTTAGTGTGTTCTTTTAAAGAACACAGAACTCTAAAATTTTAAAGAACCAAAATCGAATTTCGTTGAAAAATAAAAATAATAAATCGAATAGGAGATGAGAACGCGAGAACGCTTAATGTATTATTCCGATTCTCTGATAATAAGTGTCTATTATATCAATACGGATCAATTATAAATGCAAATGAGCGTATGAAAACCGGCGATCTAATTTCAATATTTTAGATGGAGGGTGTAATTCTGAGTTCATCTTGTTATGTTCAACAATGTTTGGTTTTCACAAGATCGTTGTCTGGTTACATAATTCGGAATTCATTTGACATCTAGTTGTTATTTAGAATCATTTAGATATAAACTACTTATCATCTATTTTTGGAACGAAGTTCCTTATGGGACGATGCGGAGGGGTACCCTAACCGGGAAAAAACGTCCGTAACGTAAGATTTTTTCTATTTAGTTTGTTATCAACGGATGTCGCTGCACGTAAATTTAACAATTTCTGAATCGCGGTGACGAGATCTTACACAGTTGATAGACGTTCTCGTATTTCTCTTGCTAAATCATACTTACCCGGCGTAGGGGATACCGTGATCATGCAGGCGGTTCCGCCAGGGCGAGGCTGCTCCATTGCACTGCGGAGTGGTTGACCCATGCGATTATTTTTATTTTTATCAATAAAAAATCATAATAAAAAATGTATACCTACCCGAATAATTATTTTCTTTATACCTCGAATAGAACTTAAAATTAATAAATTTATAATAAGGAACTTCGTTCCTATCCGGTGTCCCACGACAACACACGTCTTTTTTTAAATAATTCATTGTTTAAAAGTATGATAAATTTAGTGATTTCAAATTATTAATTGCATTTCAGATGGTAAAAGATGTCTGAGAACGGTGGAACAGCAGTATCAAGATCCTCCACACCTCATCCAGTGACCGAAGCACAAGCCAATGCTCCCCTGCGGTCGAGACATGATCAGTTTCTCGCTAGTACCACTGAACGCACGCAGCAAAGGCAATCTTCCAGCGGCAGAAATCCAAGTGTCAGCTTCGAGTCTCCACCACTGCCTTACCATAGGCAGATAGCTACCGGGTCCTTACTAACGTCATCCCATCGAGAATCATCAGCTTTTGTACCGGTGGTACCAACAAGATCGATGCATCCTGTCATGTATCCTAGCGAGATGCATCCAGCATTGATACCGTCTGAAATAATAGAGAGAGAACGTATGCTAGATAGAGAAAGAAACGAACCAGCGAAAGGCTCACCGGATAGAGCTCCAGCAAGCTTTCCCAAAAGAAGCTCGTTCGATTTAATGGCTATGATGGTTGAAAAAAGAAAAGAGGTGGCACTACGAGAAGCTGCAGCGGCAATGCTACTCCCTCATCACAGAGCATCGTCAATGGACGGTATGATGTCTGATGGGTCTCCGCAACCTCCGATTTACGGGCCTCCCGGTGCGTTCCTTGGAGCGCCGGGTCCTTCTCCGACAGCTGCTGGAAACTTTACATTTCCTGGAGCGGGTCTATTCCCACCTAATGCCGGGCCGCACCAGATCCATCCGTTAGACCGTAGGTTGCTGAGAGCGCCTGGCCGAGCTTCGCGGCCGAAGAAACAATTCATTTGTAAATTTTGCAACCGACAATTTACGAAATCCTACAACCTACTCATCCACGAGAGAACCCATACAGACGAGCGGCCGTATTCCTGTGATATCTGCGGAAAGGCATTCAGAAGACAAGACCACTTACGAGACCATCGGTGAGTTACCTTATGTTTTATTTAGTCGATTTTCTTTATATGCTTTGTAACTTCTAATAAGCTAATAGTGTTAATATTGGTATAAAGAACCGATTTATATGCACACAACAGGCGCACGGTGTAACTCAAGTTGCAGATGCTAAGCCGAGTGTGTCGGTATCCGGTCGGCTACTTGGAAACGGAATATTTATAGCTTGGCTAGCTTCTCAGAAATCAGTCTATCTTGATCGATAAGTAAAAGGTTATTAGACTTTCAACTTTCAAAACTTCAAATTAAAGTATAGACTAGATAGATATTTTAGCAAGAAGTCAGTTCTGATCGTACCGTGACGTATTAAGGTATTGCGTCCGTGATTTATCTAAGTTGGTTTTTGTCATATAAAACCGCAGTGTTAGATGCTATTAAGTACTAGTAGTGGAAAGAGCTACGCGTGTCTAATACAAGAACGCGAGATTAATTCTCATACAATTTTCACACATAAATCGTGTAATTTAAACTTAATATTAAAATTTCAACATTTTATAAATTCCCTCTATTTATTAATAGTGTTGGCATTTTTCTTCTTTAAAATCAGAGAGCGTTGTCAGAAAAGGAAAAAAAAAACTTAATTAATCCGATTAAAGATTTACATTCATAATATTATTAACGTAGATAAGTTAAAACTAGTATCTGACGTTATTTAGGATCGAGGCCTGTATCGAATCAGATTTTTTTCAGAATCAGAATTGAACGCTATAAAATTCCGTGTTATTTGAATTATAATTTGATCGATTTCCCAATCTTTATCCCTAACATCAAAAATCTGAAAACGCGCATTAAATTTACTGAAAATTCTTGAAAATACGTCTAGAGTCGTTTTTTTTTTTAACGCATCTTTAGTAATGTAATCCTTGTAGTCATTACGAAACGTTTACGGTTTGAACGGCATTGTAAATCGTGAATACGGTTAACAGATAAAATATCAATTAAATATCAAACAGACAGACAGATAATATAGCGATCATAGATTAGAATTTTACCAGTTCTTAAAAAGAAACACAAAACAATTCAAGGAAAACGGCGTATCTTAAAAGCATTTTTAACGAATAGCACATGGCAGTGTAATATTAGCTTGAGTAATTTTCAATCTATTACTTTAAAATGACATTACGTTTTAATGTAAAAATTCTTATCGCATATGAGATTTTGTTTTGTTACGCTAAAAACTTTCGATCACGTAATTAAATAGCAGAACATAAATTAGAATTAATTTATAAAAACTTTTTAAAATCTATAAATATAGGATAGTCTAGTATAAGAACAACAATTTTGAAAGGTATTCTAATTTAGAATCTCTTTCAAAGAGCATAAATAGTAAATTTGTGTAATGCCGACATGCTTCTAGACTCTAGACCCTTATTCGTCTCGCATCAACTCCGTTTTTTTTTATTATATCAGACCGTAATTAGTTTAAGATGTGATGACTCACCATTGTCTATTAGTGCTCGGTGCTAGCGGATAGAATATTTAATGGTTTATATGACGGTGTGCGCTACAACGAAGCAAATGAGTTCTTAATGTAAAAATGATGCGGCAAATTACATTGCTAACTTAAGCTGTTTACAATTGAAAATAAAGATCCTTTGTTTAAAATTCCGCCACGTAAAATGGGAAAGTCTTCCTTTCCTTTCTATAAGTACATATAATGTATTATTTTATAATATTTACATCAAAATACAGCTTAGCCTAGTAAAACTATAGCACAAATTGAGTTGCTCTATAAAGAGAAACAACATTTAAAGCTATTGCTTCACCACTTATTATGTTTTTTATATTTCAATATTCTAAAATGCTTTTATATATGTTCGTTCTAATGTTTCAATATTCAAAATTCCATTTATGTCATCTTTATAACATATTAACCTCTTTTAAGATAAATCGTATAGAGGTTACATACATTAGAAAATATAAATAATCCAGCTTTTTTTTTTTCATTTATATCTTTTTTTTTTATTAAATGAGAAAAAGACAAGGTAAATAAACAAAGATTACTTTTTGATTCAAAATGTAAAATGGTGTTGGTGCCTTTAAAGAGTCCCCTTAAAAAGTAATGGAAAATAAAAATAATGGGATATATAATGGGAATAATGTAAAAAGCAATGGGAATTGCCTCAATTACACAAGTTTTTTTTTTGATAAAATTTTGTGTATCTTTGCCAGAACGAACGATTACTGTATTCAAATATTACTTCAATATTATTTGATTTTAACAAGAAAATTATTCTAATAGAAAATAAATTAGAGATCCACATTATGAATAAATAAATAAAAACGCAAACTGAAAATAAAGGAAGACAATTGAATTGAGCTTGGTCAGGGTTGGGTTGGATATATTGTCGGTTTCATCTTTCATTTCTTTCATCATCATTCTCATCTTTACGTGTTAAGCCTGAAGGTCGTATTTCCGTTTAGGTACCACTTTCTTGAGAACATCTTTTAGGATAATTTGCAAGTAACCTCTTAATAATAATACAACAATATAGTATAGGCAGATTTATAAAAAAAGGTTTTCTTTTTCTATCTACACTTAGGCCTATTCAAATAGTGAATTCAATTGAAAATGTATTATAATTTAACGGTACGAGTCACTATTATCATTCTAACTCTTTGTATCAGCAAAAATGCTGCTTAGAAACCAGTTCTTCGCCAAGTTGTTTATATCGAATCCAAAAACCATTAAATCGAAGATTTTAATTAAGTTTCATACCGCCCCTCTTATAGAAACTTTAGACATTTTAAATGTTTTATGATAAAAAAAAAACTTATGAATCGAACGGCTTAAAGTGAATGAAAAATCATAATAAAATGATCCAAACATACACATATACATATATAAACGTATATAACAATTGAAAATTATTAATCATCAATGAAGTTAATACGCACGTAATGTAAGGTGAAGTAACTGAATAAAAATATTACTAAAGCGTCACAGGTCAATGGCCTTCTAGGATGCGGTGAGCAGCATATCACCTTTGCTTTGGATTGCGGCTTTACAATATATTATATTGTGAATATTCTATTCGGGCTATATTATATTATTACTTTGTAAATGAATACTATATTTGTATTGAGATAGTTTGTTTGACCATTTTAGTGGATAAATTTAGGTCTCTTTACTGGTTAATATTTAAAAATGGTGTTTTAAATAAATTATTATCTTACCTAATACAATGTGACGATTGTGGATATATTAAAAAAAAGACGTGTGGCACTCGGAGACTGCCGCGGTAAAGCTATTGCATAGCATTTTTTATCAACTTATGCAATTATAAATCGACAATAATAATTTAATATTAAAACAATAAAATAAGATCCGACGAGAAACTCAGTGGGCTAACTTTCAATGAATCTGCTACATTATGAGTATTCCATTTTGACCGCGCACTCACTAGAAGGCGCTACAAGGGATAGAGACACGCCTTTGGATGCTAGTTCTAGTTCTCATTCGCCCAGAATCAACGGTTTAGCTAGTTTATTTTTAATGCCACTCCAATCACTGAATGATTAGTAGGAGTAGTAATAAAATTCTTCGACCAAGCGATAGAAAATGGCAATTTTCTATTTAACAATTCCGTTTGTCGCCGATAGACGGTGCTTGACGCAAAAGCTGAATCGCGCTATCGTTTTGTTACCCACGAAATTATATCACATATTTTGATAGTACATAAATCGGTGTCTAGATTTCTTACTTTAAGCACTACACAAGCGCAGCGTGTGAATGTGTTGAACGCGAGCTACATAGTAGGCATAGTGAGGGGTGGAAGGTTTTTTTCGTTACGGAATTTCACGATTCCGCTCTCAAGCCGCGCTCAAGACCCGCGATAAAATCTATGCAATAGCTTAATAATTTGAATGCTTAGATTTTATAAGTAAATATTTTAAACTACAAAGATAAGCGAGTAATGTATTATTAGTCTCAATAAAGTCGAGTAGTCCATAGTAGAGCCACGACGCGGCAAAGGTAGAGAGGGGTTTCCACCGCGAGTGACTCGTAGGCGCGTAGTACATACATAACACCGCTGTCTTTGACTTTTGATTCCGAGTAACATTCGTGTGACGAGTTTCATACGATCCTTGTCTAGGTGTATCTTATCTGCATAAGTATCTACTTAATTTTTTTTAAGTCGTCGTGGCCTAAAGGATAAGACGTCCGTTGCATTCGTATCTAGCGATGCAACGGTGTTAGAATTCCGCAGGCGGGAATTTTTCTGATAAAATACATATTTGAAAAAAATTCACGATTGACTTCCACGGTGAAGGAATAACTTCGTGTAATAAAAATCAAATCCACAAAAGTTTTAATTTGCGTAATTACTGGTGGTAGGACATCTTGTGAGTCCGCACGGGCAGGTACCACCGCCCTGCCTATTTCCGCCGTGAAACAGTAATGCGCTTCGGTTTGAAGGGTGGGGCAGCCGTTCTAACTATACTGAGACCTTTAGAACTTATATCTCAGGATGGGTGGCGCATTTACGTTTTAGATGTCTATGGGCTCCAGTAACCACTTAACACAAGGTGGGCTGTGAGCTTGTCGACCCATCTAAGCAATACAAAATAATTAAAAAAAAAACCTAAAAATGTAACTTATCACCCTCTGGTTCCCGTAAGGGGACGGGGAATCCTAATTTGGGGCCAGATAAGCATACGTGATTTTTCTTCGTGTGGGATTATTTATTAAATTAAACTATAAATAAATAAATATTTACTAACAATCACGCCACGCTAACTGGTCCCGTGCTAAGTTCGTAAAGAACTTGTGTTACAGGTACCAGAGAACGGAAATAAATGTAAGATTTTTATTATACACATACATATATCTAATATACATCCATAACCCTGGAAAAGACATTTTATATTTATCATACAAACATCCTCCCTTGGCGGGATTCGAACCCGCGACCCCCTTGTGTAGTGACCATGTCACTTACCACTACACCAGACGGCCGTTAAAGCTATT